TTTCTAGGCGAAAGCAAAAGCACTTTATTTGGCCTTCCGAAAGTAGATGCATTTAGGAATCTTTAAGATCACTTACAACAGAACCGCAATGCATTTTATGGATGACCGTTTCGTGAACCTAGGAGAGGATCTGGCGCTTCTGAATCAGCTACTGTTTTGTTATTAGTTTAAGTATTTGCTATTGACTGTTCAAATGCGGAGTTTTGTGCATCGTGTGTGTGTGTGTGTGTGCGCGTGCGTGCGTGCGCGCGCGAGAGGGAGCGAGACACATCACAGTGGAGTTAGCTGTCTTAACCGTGGCTTGTGTACTGCAAACACATATTCATCACTGTGTCTGTCACGAGACTCTGTTCCCCTTTCGGGCTCTGTCTTTACATTTATTTTGAAAGATGAAGCTGCGATTATGGTAAGGGGCGTTACATTTCCGATGAGTGCTTGTGGTGTTCGGCCAATCACAATGCACTGGGTCTGCTGGCCAATCAGAGCAGACTGCGCTTGTCGTATAATGTGAAGTAGAGTGGTCATTTTCCATTCTTATTTATAAATCGATTGAAAATTACATGGGGCAGACGAGCTTATTTGTGGAGTGATCTGAATCTGCGGTTTTTCTCATTTTATAAATCAAATTACATCGCTGAGAAAATGGATGCTAAATGACAACAAAAGCACTGCACAAAACCGTGCAGTGCCAAAAGTCGCAATAATGGTAATCAGTAGTCAATTCACTTATATTTATGTATGATACAGCGGTTGCTATTTCATAGTTAATGAAGCCCAAGTGCCATTTACAGGCCTATTATGTGAAGTGTAGGCTGGCGAAATGGTGACGTGAAAGGACTTTATTATATTTCCATTTTTGATAATTATGCAGCGTTATGGAAAGTGTCTTGCGCTCCTCAAGCCTGCATTTATTTGGTCAAAAATACAGGGAAAAAACGTAATTGCGAAATATTACAATTTAAAAATGTTTTTCTATTTTAATATACTTTAAAATATCACTTATTTCTGTGATGCAACGCTGAATTTTCTGCTTACTCCAGTCTTCAGTGCATGATCCTTCAGAAATCATTTATTCAGCATTTAATATGCCGATTTATAATCAATGTTGGAAACGGTTGTGCTGCCTGTTATTATTATTATTATTATTATTATTCTTTTTATTTTATTTTATTTTTGGAGCCTGTGATACTTAGTTCATTGATAAAAAAATTAAAGAACAGCATTTATTCAAAATAGAGATGTTTTCAATCAATATCAATCTTTACTATCACTGTTTCTATCAATTTAACAAATCCTTGCTGAATAAAAACTAATTTCTTTAAAAAAAAATAAAAAACTGACCCCAAGCTTTTGAATGGTAGTGTATATTACAAAAGTAATATTTTAAATAAATGCTGTTCTTTTAAAACTTTTTATTCAACAAAGAATCCTGAAAAAAGTATCACAGGTTTCCAACATTGATAATAAATCAGCATTGCATAAAATGTATTTTAAAGTACCGGTATATTAAAATTGATCAAATAAATGCAGGCTTGAGGACCATAAGTGACTTCTTGCAAAAATGGTAATGTATCCAAACATTTGACCTATTTATTTTTTTTTTAAAACATTGCCCCTATTTTACATTTGAGCCCCTGCCTCTGAGGAACTCTCTGCACGTCCCTGACTAACAAACCCCAGTTTGGAAATATTGGTCTAAAGAAAGACTAACACCACGTTCACATGTTTTCAGTTCTTTGATGTTAGTTAATGGCCACATCACATGCGTGCAAACAAAATGGTTCATTGATTGTAGTAAGATTTTTTTGTTGCCATTTTAATTTTATATTATATTTTAATTATTAGTTTTTCCTCAACTTACAAACCCCAGTTTGTGTAACCTTAGTCCAAAGCAAACATGAACTACTAATTTTACATGCAAAATCCACTGTAGTTGAAAGTGGATGTTTTTTTTGTTTGACCCAGTGGATTTTCCCCCTAATTTTGGTTAATGAACTTCTGAAGGCTTTTTAATCCTGGTAATTGTTAGGAGTGTTATTTCTTTCTCTTTTAGGGCTTATGATTAATCTGAGCTCATGAATCCCATAATATAGGCATGCTTAGCCTTGTGATTATGAAAATTATAATTTGTAGTCTAGTTTCTTGACAGTGTTGTCATTGTAGTTTATTTTTGTAAATGCTCTAGAATCTGCAACTAACAATGGTGATGATTTTTATTTTTTTTGTACGTTATTTTAAATTCTCCATTTTCTTGCAGTTGGTGATGGAAAGGCACCAGTAGCTGGTGGGGAGGAAGATGACGATGAAGTTCCAGGTCAGTATGTTGCTCTGAAACTTCCCCCCCCCCCAATTTCCATTTTTTTTAAATTATCTCTCGTATTTTAAGTCGTAGCATTAACCATAAGATTGTTTGCTTACATTTTCTATTATTCCTTGTGTATTTTATGTCTCCTAGCTTGAGCTTCACAATTATTACCATATGGGTTTCTGTGCGTGTGGTAATGTAAGCAAAGCACACTTGCTTATGTTAGGGCAGTGTCTCAGCTTGTGGTGTGGAAATGTCCAAAGAAGGAGGGTCTCAGCAGGTTGTCTTGGCTCTTACATTGTCATCATATACAAGTGTTTAAAATCTCCTCTATTGTTTATGAGCACTGAAGGTTCGGTTTGCTTTTCTTTTTATAGAGAGGGGGTCGAACACATACGGTTGCTATTACAATTCCCCAGTTCTCCTCCCTGAGCAAACTCCAGTTAGTAACCCAAGTCTTGCACATGTACAGTATGATTACATCTCCGACACTGCAAAATTAGCTCACCCGTGTGATGACAAAAAGGGTTAACAGCTTGTGCTATTGTGCCCATTACTGAGATTCAACCTTTTCTGTCCCCTCTCAAAACAAAGTCTAGCCTTCTGTTAGTGATTTCCATTCTGATGCCCTGAGGCAGAGAAGTTGATGTTCCATTTGATCAGATTTCATCTCCTAAAAGGCAACCTGCTTTTGATCCTCAATGGTTTCATTTTTACAGCTGTGGACTTTTCAGTCCCCCAGTGCTCGTTTATGTTCTCTATGGAAATTACTTACACACGTGGGCACAGAAGTGAGAGAGAAGCACAGAAATTGCCTTTCAGATCATGTTTCTATAAACCTTTACAGATTGTTTCATAAAGATGAGATTTAGTTTTTCAATCTCCTTATTTATTGGATGTCCAGTGTTTCTTCATAAATCCTGTTTTCCACAAGTGTTCAGTTTTTAATCCCTTTGAATTGTCAGTTTGAATTTGAATTGTTTTACTGAATCCTTGTTTTCTCTTTGCAGACCTTGTGGAGAATTTCGATGAGGCTTCAAAGAATGAGGCAAATTAACTTCACGGGAAGGAAAGACGTTTGAAATCTCTGGTCTCAGCGGAGACTTGTGGGACTCCACCC